GCTTAACCGACTGCGCCACCCAGGCGCCCCAATAAATGCACTTTTGAAGAACCAAACCCCGGTAGTAGGACTGAGGCACTTTGTTTTACTATAAGGTTTGTGGAGATCTAATTTTCTAGTCTCTTCTGGCCATTGTTTTCCCATGTTAGTACCAACGAAGTATCCTATCCACAAAAGGAAGGTGAGTGTTCATAGAAACCTCTCATCACATTTCCAGCCAGCCAGGGCGGCCTTGGCCAATCCTGTGGCAAAGAGTAGAGCACGAATCACAGTAATAGTGAGAAACTAGGTGTGACAGTGCATCACAGTAAGGAAACATATAGAAAATAAGGACAGTCTTTTGTTCCACTGGACCGTCGATTCTTCCAGCTTCTGCCATGTGTAGATTAGTCAGCTTCCGGAGTGACTAAAGCAGGGCTGCAGTCTCCCAGAGCCTCTGGAGTTGCAGATTGCTTCTTCCATATGGTCAGCTTGCATGGCATTGATGGATCAGGAATGCACTCCCAGTTTCGAGATTCTGGCTTCACTCTGCTGTAGTGAATCCAGGGACCCACTTTGGCTACCTTTACTGCAGCAGGGGTGGACAAAGTGACAGTGAACGGGTCCCTCCAGAGGGTTTTTAGGGGTTGGACATTTTACTCCTTTATCCATATTGCATCTCCTGGCTTAAAGGGGTGAGCGTCTGTGGTCAGATTCATAGGTAATTGCTCCCTGACCCAGTGGTGTAAGGTAGTTAGGGTAGAGCCAAGGGCCTGCATCTGTTGTCTTAGGGTTAGATTGTCTGTCTCATTTAGATCCCCCCTTATGCACTGGATAATGGGAAGAGGGCACCCATAAAGGATTTTATAAAGGGAGAACCCCATCTGCTTCTTCAGCCTCCCACTTGCAGCTGCCTCCCTGAAGGTCCCTATCTCTCCCTGTCTAATGTTAACCCTTTCCCTATTTATTTCTCCCCTGGAGCAGGGCCTGTAACTGCTTTTAGGGAACAAGATTGATGACCACTCTGGCTTCTTCATGCTGATAAGGACAGTGTGGGGGTACAGCAGTTAGAGTCTACCCAAGGGTCGGTCGAGTGGCCCACAGTATGGTTTTACAGGAAGGCTGGCAGGCATGAGGCGGCATAAACATTAGCAGATACAAAGAGAAAAACACAAAGTAAAGATTATACTGACCAACAAGATGCCATCTGAAGATAATGTCTACAGTTTCCAAACCTGTCAAATAATCTAGGAGAGACTCTGACTTTGTAAACAATGTATGTCAGGGGATCTCTCATAACCCAGGTGATGGAGAAGCAGGAGCAGTAAGTAATCAATGGTGGCTCTATTTCCAAGAGTTTGGCCCTAACTTAATTAAAAACACTTTTTTTT